AATAAATTAAGTACTATATATATATATATATATATATATATATATATATATATATATATACAGAAATATTAAAATCATATTATTCCTAAACTTCACAAAACTCACTACAGTCAGAACATGCAGTTAAGCCTATATAGATGAATTGAAGTTCAAGTTATGAAGATTTATATGCTGTTATGAACTACATATCAGAAAAAGAAAAAATTATTGTACAGAAAATATATGTCAAGTTTCGACCCACTAATAAAACACTCAATAACTGTCCACAAGTTTAAATGAAACTGTTTAACTTTACATTGATTTAAGGACCACAGTATAAATTATTTATCATATGCTGAAAAAAAGCTAGGCACTTCAAAATTTGTACACACATGTACCTTTTTATCTCAATATTTCAGTACTAAAAAAAATTTTTAAAAAACTTATGAAAACAGCTGTAAATTAAGTATGTTTAAATAGGGTAATATGAACAGTAGCTCTAAATATATAACTTCTTAAATTTTATCTTCTAAATTTTTGTCATTACTTAATGCACTTGTAAAAAATGGATATCTGCAATTTGCAACATTATACTTACAACAAGGTTAAAAAGTACTGTTGTAAAATAATAACAATCACCCCCCCTCAGTTAATTGTTAAACAAATAAAATATATTCATTGGTCAATCATGTGATCTGAAATTCAAATGGTTTGTCATCTAGCTTGAAATGAACATTTGGTAGATGCTGGTTTAAGTCTTAACAATTCTTGACATTTCACTTCAATACAGAGTACTACATCAAGAACAGCAAGATAGTCTCAGCCTAATGCAAGCGTTGCATGCTTAACCCTACCTACACAGAAGTAAAACATCCACAAACCTTTGCTGAAGTCTAGCCGTGATTCATAAACAACACGGAGAACTTTAAATTCCACAATTCACTTCAAAGTGACGACCAAGATAAGGTAGTTTAGACCAAAGACAAATCATTTGAGTTTCAGATGCCTAATTCTAATACTTTATAACTAACTTAGACACAAAAACAACAAAGTTTCATTTGTTTAAAGTAATTTTCAGCAAATGTTTAATCACATTCTAAAGTAAGCAAACCAGTGGCTCAAAACTTTAAATATTAATCATCTTGTGAATTTCTACATAAAGTTGAAAATTACAAAATAAAACAACTTACAGTAAACATTCACCTTTGTATCACACTAAAATAAATACATTTTCAGAAAATAAAGTTATACCTTCATATGATTGGGCAGGCAAAAGTGTTAGCACTTCATAAAGACGTAGTCTCACCATCGCAACAGCTGCCTTCAAGTGCTGTCCATATGACTTGACCAGGTTTGTTAAGCTATATTTTGTGCAAAAAATAACACCCATACACAAAAATATTATTTTTAAAGCAAAAATACAAATAACACTTTCCATTTCTAAATTCAAAGTTAATTTTTAATTTACTGCCCTCTAGTCTGTTTATCCAGCCTTCAATGTTTAAAATAACAAACCTATTCTCATGTAAAACAGTCCTGTGAGAATGCTTTTCCACTTTGCTAATTTCACTGGTTCAGAAAACAAAACTTAAAACTTGGTTACTACCTTTATTCTATAAAAACATAAAACTTAAAAGTGCCAAAAAAAAACTATTTAACTGGATATGATAACTGGAAGGAGGGTTGGATTTAGGACAAATGGGACCTGGGGTAGTAGAATAGCACTTGGGGCCCCCTAATAAATACAAGTACATACAATGCCTAAATAAAAATTTATATTCGTTGGGGTCTCCAAGTGGTCAAGGTCGTGGTGTATCTGCTCCTTCTCACTCACCCTTAATATAGCCCTGACTAGAAGACATATACAAGACCAATTGATTTCGGAGAATGAAAAAAGAAATTTTAAATAAATTAAAGAGAGAAATAAAATGGAAATTTATTTCCAAGATACTTCAGGAACAGATAAATCATAACCTTTACAGTAAGGCAATTCTCACTTAATACTTTTCATTTGTATGGTTTAACAAGGAATAAACTTCACTGTCACCGTGTAACACACAAAATCATCCATCCTCTTTTCATATCTCCAATTTCTTAACCTAAACAAATTTCTGAAGCAATGAAATATACAAAACACTGTGAAACAATCAAGGAAGACTTTTGCTTAACTCTTTCAGAATGGGCATCATTTTGTGTGTGTGTCAGGATTTTTTAGTGAGTTACATTTAAAATTTAATTAAACTACTTCCTAATCATGGTATATAAATAAACTAGGCATAAAAACATAGCTAATAATCCAAATTTTAATATTATACAAGTTAAAAGTTCTTAATTTTATAAGGCAATATTAAAAAAAACACTCATATATATGTGAATTGTGACATTTCTTTCTAGATATCTCCTCTTCTCTAATATATTTACCACCACTCCATGAAATATGAAATTTAACGTAAATTACACATTATAATATTGTCATATCTCAAGCAAAGCATAGTTTTTAAAGTCTTCAATCTTAATTGGTTACAGAACCATTGAATAGAAAATCAGACCCCACTTCCATGCCCACCTGTTATATACTCTCTTTCAGAAATTCACAATAGTTCTCTCTGACGTTTAATACCAATAGAAAGCCACAGTTTTAATATATCAAATGACATATTATATTATGTTGTTTTCTGTACAGAGAATTGTCTACTTCACTTCCAGTTCGAACCCTTTTCCCAGGTAAGTACTTTATTTCTTATTTTTCATGTGTATTATTTATTTATTATTATAAAAGTAACTAAAATGTAAAAATAGAAATATTTTAGGATAGATAAGGTAAAATAAATAATAATAATAATAAATTTTCATGAGGTATGCTCACGAGCAACTTGTGCATTATGTAATTTAATAGGGTAACATGAGCTTCACCAACTGATTTACAAATTTTATGGCAGGAATATACTTTGGAGCCAACTAGTAATACAGGTAGTTAATGGTGATGCACACACACATTTTATTTTGGTTTACTTAAGGCAGTATAATGGAAGCTTTAAAAGTATTTTATTTTTTCCTTATGATTAATAACAAATTCTATCGAGTCTAAGGAGTAGTGAGTGACTTCTAGCAGAATCTTTATATTTTAACTTAAACTTATTAAAATAAATAAATAAATACCCTATTTTTTCCTTTCTAGAAATAATAAAGGTACAAATTCCAAAAGAATAAAGTCATGTTCACCTTGTTAGCATGGCAAGAGCAGCTTCAACTGGTGACAGCAATCTACGCACCACCTCTTCAGAGACAAGTTCTTTACAGTGTACCAGAAAACTTGCCATAGCTGCAATCAACAAAAAAGTTCTGACATTTGCTCTAGTGATTGCTTGTTCCAACCAGGTTAATATTAGTTGGACCATAATTACTTTTCTTCATCTTACTTAGTACACTTTCTTTGTATAGTTAACAGATTATACGAGCTTTTTAGAAATATCCTAGATTTTAAAGAATATTAAGCACAGTTTGGTATCAGACTTTACTTTGGTTTGGCTTATCTTAAGGTATAGTTTTAAATTCTACTTTTCTTAGGACAATATTGCATCAGTATTTTATCCTGGTCAATAATTAAGTGGTTCTAGTACACGGCGTATAGTTTACAAATTAATGAAGTAATTGTATTTGAGGATCATGTGAACCCCACCCCTCCCAGTTACTCTGGACTTATGACGTTAAAAAAATGAGTTTCGATACCCATGGTGGGCACTGCACAAATACCCCATTGTGTAGCTTTGTGCTTAACAACAAACAAACAAAACCATATGAAAAATAATACTTGTGCTATTTGTTCATGTCTACATAATGCATTTGGGTTTAGTAAAATATAAGGTGTTGAATATTTGGTATTTGGCACATTCTGCTAGGATAAGTTGGCTTCTTAAACCTTATACAAAACTTCACGAGCAATACCTGCTAATGCTCCTGCTCTTCCTTCAAGGGTTACTTGCCATGTGAAAGCATCTCCTCTAGCCTTTTCTGATTCTAGTTCTTTTGTTGACCTTGGAAAAGAGTTCTTCCAAAGAAGCAACATTCTTGGCAGAAGTCCACGAACCACAGGTGGACCTTATAGATAGCAAAAAGATAATGAAAATCAGTCTTAAATATAACTGTAAAAGATTATCTTATATATGCTTTTCTGACCACACAGTTTACAGATAAGTGATTGTTATGAATGCTAATAGACCTTACCCAATGTCATGACTGCTCCAATCATTAACCAACCAGCTTGAGTACGTTGGACAGACAGTCTACTATTCTGTGATGCTGTGCGAAGAAGATCCTCCGCTACATTGAATATGATCTTGACAAAAAAGTAAAAAAGAAAGAAATGACTATACATATATCAGTTAGTATTTGTTGCAAAATTATATTGACAACAGTCATTCGAGTTTCACTATTATCCAATAATATATAATAAAATTCTTATCGAATATCTCAATGCATGATGCTACTACTTTAAGTAAAACAGGACCACACTTTAATGGGATAGCAAACACAGAACAAGTGGATACTTTACGCTGCTTAATGCAATACCTTTATAACCAATGAGTATCTGAAAATAACCTGCTGGTATTAAAAAAAAAAAAGTAGAATAAGGCTGAGTAAAACTGGCTTGCAAGATGTAAAGGTTCAAAATAAAAAGTTACTGAGCTTCCATTTCTTCACTTCAAAATTTAGGATGTGTCATTTGCAATCTTACCTCATGGCTAGAACAGTGAACAACTTGTGGTGTACAGATTTTGTTTGATGTGATCAGCAAACAAAAGTTTGATGGTATTTATCTTTTATTGTAAAGTTTCTTAATTATTTTAAGATAACAGCACCAAAAGATATAAATTAACAGTTAGATTTTTCAACTCACTGAAACATTTCATTTGAGAATACCTTTATGACACCAAAGGTATCCTCAGATGAAATGAAATTCACTTAATAAATTATAGAATGTAAAACAACTGCTTATTAGCAAATGTTTAGTTGGTTGGTAATAATTACAGAGAATAAAATGCCATACAAAATTACAGTATGTATTGGTCAACCAAAAAAATGAATGAAAAATGTTTGGATACTGATATATCTAGGAAATTAGGACACTGAATAAGGCCATGAAGATCAATGGGACACGTGCTTAATTGGAAAATACATTCCAAGCCTGTATCGTTAGAAAGAAAAAGAGAGAAAAAACCAGCATTCGTTTTACCAGCAGGAAGCAGAAGCCATTAAATCAACAAGTTTTATAGAATCTCTAAGGTGTACTACCAAGATATCGATGGAGGAGGTCAGAGTTAAGGTGATAATGAAAGAAAAACACTAAACTTGAGTCTTATAGAGAGGGGGTATATGGAAGAAAACATACACAGGGTGAAGGCTAAGTGGCCTGGATTCTAGGAACATCAGAGGTACATGCCAAATTCTAAAAAAATTGAGAAAGAAAATATATGTCCCAATGTGACGCTTTATTGGTATGTGAGAAATAACCAACTGGAACCCATGAACAGTAGTTATGAATTTGCTTCATTTTAAAACAGTGTCAACAACCAATCAAAAACCAAGAAACATGTGCTGTGGCTAGGTTTTTGGTTGCACTTAACACAATGACAACACCCAATTAATTAAGTATAAAAAGCCACGGTTTGGGCACACGAAACATAGCC